TATTCATAAAACCCTCACTCACTTCACAACGAGCACGGCATTGCTGCCGTGATTGTAGGGAGTATTCACTGCAATAAGGCTTCTGCCTGCCTCTTGGTGGAGCTCCGTCATAGTAACTTGTCTGTTCTTGACTATGTTTGCACGAGGAGTGGATATGGAGTCGACTAAACATATGGAATTAGGGTAGGGAGGCGTAGCATTGAGTAATGTCGCAATGAATATGCTTGTGTGCGCAGGTAAATATCATATCGGTGTTCTCACAAACTACGTCGCTACTGGTCCAGCTCTTCCTCCAATGAGTCAAAACCGCTCAAAACTCATTGCTTCCATGAAAGCAAACGTGCATGCCTTTTATGCGTTAGGGATTTTCTCTTAGTTCTTCTACCTGCGTGCGCATATGAAACGCCGTTTTGCTCATGGTGTTTGATGGATTCTCGTCAAAGCGCAGAAGCGCGAGCAAATATCGACTCACCTGAAGTGTGCAAAGGGTTAAGGAGTTCGTCCATTACGAGCATCGAATGTTTTTGTCTCGGCGTGATTTTTTTCAGGTCGACTTGTTGTCCAAAAACAGGGTAGTTCGGGCTTGAGCTTTGTTGTGGCTTTTTCCTACCCATCCGTTCGCTTTGGGCTTTGATGTGGGGCTCGAGGGAGCGGGACACGGCCCATTTGTCATCTAGCATGTGGTGTGGAAGCTCTGCTGAGTCACCTGATAAATTTTTGTTCGAGCATATCCATCTGTGCTGTTCAGTTGATTTCAATCAGTTTGAACGCCCCAAAATAGAAGCATTTGTAAGACCACCAGGGCGGACTGCAAGTCTTTCCCCTTCGTTTTGGGAAGCGCCATTGCTCTGAGCGGGAATTTTTTTCGCCGCTTTTCTCCCTGACGATGCCTCTACTCGCGTTAGCGCAGATGATTCAAGCGCCGTTGAGAACGCTGGGAGATGAACCCTCATGGGGCGTTCATGTGGATTGGCCCTGCCACTTCACTACAAGTTCGTTGGGGTCCCGGCAGAGTGACTGATAGCTTTGTTGGTTCCCTCGCTTGTGTTGGTCGAAATGTTGTATTTCAAGTCCCTAGGTCCTTTTTAGGTGCCTGCATTCTCTGGTATTGTTTTCTACAACAACAGCAGACACACAAATTGGGAAATCCCTTCGGCTGTTATTCTCAGCGGCCATAGCCTCTTTACGCGCGTTATTTCCAACGCTTTTTTTCGCAGCTGGAACGATGGACATGGAAACGTTTCTCTCGCTGGTCCATAACTAGCGCGATGGACTCAATCATTTCGCCCCCTAGTCTGCTCGCCGGTGCGCGATGGGTTTCCAACTGCAATTACACAGTACAGTACTCCCATGCGACATTGATACAGAACCTCGGACTCGGCTGTGGGGCCTTCAATGAAAAATAGCACTTCACAAGGAGGCGCTCTACAGACTTTTTAACAGCGAAGCTGCCAGTAGCAGGCGTAAACCCCTGTTGTGTACACCGTTAGGGACGAAATGAAATCTTCCGCACCCCCACCGAACTGTTTAGCATAGAAGAGCGTTCGCCTATGCTGCTGACAGACGACAGACGACTATGGGGTTTGCAACTCTCTAGGGCATCGTATCCTGTGTCCGAGGCAGTGCATTTACGCTGAAAAAAATCAAGAAAATTAATCCGAGGCTGTCCTTGCAAGGTATATTCTTGGGGCAGTGCCGAACACATTTTCCCCCATCGGCCTATCTATACCATTTAGTAAGCTCCCCAGCTGTGTGACAGGCATCCGTTTCGCGCTGCTCAGCCTCAACCACGCACTTCTGCTAAATGTAATAAAACCCTCGTGAACTGCAGTACAGTCAAAGACTTTAGCAAAGACGGTTGCCCTAAAGCACTTAACCTACCATCCAGTTTCCGGCCGCAGAGGGCACAGGAGTACAAGGACCTGCGCCTGCCCGAAAAAGGCACAGGCAGCAAATAATTGTAACGCGTCGTGCTGCAACTCCTGCTACAAGGCAATCCCACATACAAGCGCGCCCCGCCCGATCTTGGACGCATGCACTACCACTCTTGACAATTCGCAGCCTCTCTCTTGACCCTCAAACGGTAGAGTGAACGTGAACACAAATACAAGTAAAAATTTTAGACAGAGCATTGTACAGGGTAACTGCCCATGGACAGCGCAATGCAACAATCGCATGCGTATGACCGTGATGTCGACAGAGAATATGCAGCGCGTTTTCACAATCCAGCGCAACATTTGAATCAACTTGTGTGGCTTTCACGCTGGCGTTCTGTCAAAATCTTAGAAGGCGTTGTGCTCAGTTACCTGCCAACCTGAGAATGGCCATTTGCTAT